CGCCCTCGCGGCTCGGGCGGACGGCGCGGAAGAGCGCGAGGTCGCTGACGCCCGCGGCCTGCCGCTCCGCGTACTCGCGGGCGGCGCGACCGACCGCGGCGCGCCACTGGCCGCGGTCGTCGCCCGCGCTCGGTGGCTGGAGCCCGAGGGTCTGGCACGCGTCGAGCGCGGCCGCGACGCAGGAGAACGCGGCCGCCGCAGGCGCCGCCCGGACCGCGGCGTCGACGGCCCGCCGGAACGGGCAGCGCGCGGCCGCGGCCGCGTGGTCCAGCGCGGACCGTGCCCGGAGCCGGAGAAGGCGCACGTCGGCGGTGACCTCGCCGAGCAGCGTCGCCATCGCGACGTGCGACACCCCGGTCGACGCGGCTCCGAGCGCGAAGCGGAACGCCTCGGTCTCGGCCTGGCGGACGGCGGTGCTCGCCTCCACCGAGACCTTGCCCCAAGCCGCCGCCGACCACGCGACGACGCTCCGCGCGTAGCTCACATGAGCGGTGAGCAGGTGCGCGCGCTTCATCGAGCCGACCGTCGCGAGCGCGCCCGTCGCCGACGCGACCTGGCGCCGCATCTCCGTGGCGGCCGCCCGGACGTGCTTAGACCACGAGCCGTCGTGCGCGAGCACCACGCCCAGGTAGCGGCCCTCCGTGCCAATCGGGATGCTGACGGCCAGGTCCGGCGGCGCCGCCGGCGAGACGCGTCCGGTGAGCCGAAGCTCCTCGCGCGCCGGCGAGTGCACGAAGGAGAACCGCCCGCCGTAGCCCCGCACCTCGTCCGCTGCGCCGGGCCCGAGCACGAAGACGAACGTCTTCGGCTCGCCCGGGTACGGGACCCACCGGAAGCGCCAGCACCAGGCCCAGAGCTCCTCCGCGAGCGCCCGGAGCTCCTCGTACGACGGCGCGAGGAGCGCGACGTCGTCCATGAGGAGAAGGGCGCCGAGCCAGGCGCCGCCGAGCGTGACGCCCCTGCCGGTCGCCTCGAGCGCCGCGAGCACGGGCGAGAACGCAACGGCAAAGAGGAAGGGGCTCAGCACGAAGCCCTCGGGCACGCCGGTCTCGCGCGCGACCGGGCTCGTGAACCCGCCGCCCGCGGTGCCGACGCGAACGGAGTTCTCGAAGAGCGCGACGAGGAGCCGAAGCGCGGCGCCGCCGAGGCCGAGCTCGCGGAGCCGTCGCCAAAGGAGGAGCCGACACGTCGACGGATACGCCTTGACGATGTCGACGGTCATGACCCACGTCGGCTCGCGGGCCGCGCGCCGCGCCGCGAGCACCTCGTTCAGCGTCGCGAGGTGCTCGACGACGGAGCCGCACGGGACCGCCTGCAGGGCCGGCACCGCGCCGACGGCGAGCGCCCACCGCCGGAGGCGCGCGAGGAGCACGCGCTCGAAGACCTGCCGA